CTTGGTTTACTTTTACTATGACTATAGTGAATCGTGACCGATTCGCCTTCCTGCAGTTTGGTCGGTGAGAGGTTGAAAACCAAAAAGATATTGAAGGGAAGGTCCAGCTATAGGATGAGCACGAAAAAGATATAGAAAGGAAGGTCCAGCCATATTTACTAAGCACATCGTAGCTTACCACTAGACAACAGTTGAGACGTTTCTTCTTTTCTCGCGATGTTCAAACATATTCAGCTCACGCCCGCGTAGTCGCAGCCGATCTTCTAGAAGAAAGAGACCAGGAACAAGAGAAAGGGAACCTGCCGGAAAGAGAATACCGATATCGAGAAGGAGAAAATCTTCTAGAAGAGGACCTAGAGCGAGAAGAAGTCGTTCTAAATCGCAAAGGAGCAAGTCCTCCAGAAAGAGACCTGGGCCGAGAAGACGTCGATCTAAGTCTCAGAGGGGAAAGTCTTCTAGAAGGAGGCCTAAACAGAGACGAAGCCGATCTAAGTCGGGGAGAAGCAGATCTTCCAGAAGGAGACCTAAACCGAGGAGAAGTCGCTCTAAATCGAAGAGGAGCAAGTCTTCTAGGAGGAGACCTAAACCGAAAAGTCGATCTAGGTCGCAGAGGAGCAAATCTTCTAGAAGAAGACCTAGACAGAGAAGAAGGCCATCCAAGTCGGAGAGAAGCAGGTCTTCCAAAAGGAGACCTAAACCAAGAAGTAGTCGATCCAAATCGGAAAGGAGCGGGTCTTCTCGAAGCAAATCTGGATCTAGAAGAAGTCGATCTTCCAGAAGGAAGAGGCCTGCACAGACGAGACGACCTTCCCCAGAAAGAAAAGCTGCATCAAAACGGAATCGACCTCATAGAAAAAGGCATAGTGGGTCGAAAAGCGGACGACATCCTATGAAAAGGAAAAGTGATTCGGAAAAAAGTTCATCTTCTAGAAGGAGAGGCTCTTCATCGAGGAGCCGGTCAAAGAGTGACAGACCGAAGAAGAACCGTCGCAAAGGAGGGCCTAGAGATGATATGGTAAGCAAGAGTAATTGCATTCTGTTAGAGTAAGTATAAGCTTTTGTGGAGCAAAGTGAAAAGCATCACCTAAGCTTGCAGCTGCCTAAATTATTGTTGAATGTTGGGGGTTTGGTGGCTAGCGTTAGAGGATGATGCGATGCATAGACTTAGTCTGCAGCCTGCAACTTAGAGGCTAAAGTATGACCCGAAATGAACTGAACTGCGAAATCTTTTTAAGTAATGATCTGATCAAATCGGATAAGTGTTATTTTCGAGTGGGCCCGGTACTTTTTTATTTGTTGAGCGTTGTTAAACGTCCATTAAACTGAATGATTTTGTTTTTCAATTAGTGTTTGAAGCCGAATTGGCGCGATCACTTCCAAAATGAGATCAATCAGCGTAAAAAGTTCACATTTTACCCTCCACCCATAAGTTGAGAATGTAGGAATTCTGGAGTAACGCACACTCCAGCTGAGCCTTAATCAGTAATTGTTACTAAATATTCCCGTCACTTTGAAAAGTTTCGCAAGTTAAGGCAGGATACACGCCTACAATGGAGTCAATGGGTGTGGTGAGTCGCTTAAAAAAGTTTTTTCCCTCATGTTCATTTGTTTGATTCACTCAAAGTACGTTGCAAACACGACAAGCAGTGAATCAAATAGGATCAAGTAGATAGATCTGATACAAAAATTGAATTGAAGAAAAATGCAATCACCAACAACAGCGGAAGGTGTACTATTATATTGAATACACATTTACGAGAGACCAAAGAAAGAATTTTTAACAGAGGGCTGGAAACAGGGGGTAGCAGAACCGCTACATGTGAGGGACAAGGCTTTTGAAGTACGCAACAGGTTTGTAAATTGAGAGTGAGAGCAGTAGTTGCCTCTTTTCCTCCGTCGATGGGATATGTAAAAGTAACAGAACAGAAGTGACCATAATCGACTCTCGATGGATCTTGTCATGTATCTCGATGTGTGAGTGTTCTTGTAAAGCCTCAGCTAAGATGTTATAACTCTTCATTTGGCCAACGTTTCGGCGTTGCCGCCGGCGTCAGAGCCTGGACTCCAAAAAATAATCGAAGTTCATCCATGTCGAACACCGTTTCAGACTTCAATTTAGCTCAAGTATAACTACTAATATAACTTAAAGGGAACAAGTCAGTCGTCTAGAAATCGCACTTGACCTTGATTTCGTCAATCAACGTTATTTCCACTAATATACTATGATTGCGAAGGAAAATGTCATCCATCTCAATCAAGCACCTACCATGTGGAGGAACAACTGGACAGTCTCCAACCTCTCTCTTGTATTGATCTCGACATAACTGTTTACGTTATTACTGCTCTTCCGCCGTGCGACCCTTTTAGCTGAGACTATTCAGTAATTCAGCGGTCTAACGTCTGGACGTAATAGACGTCTTCAGGAGCCCAAATGCAACTATAGATGATTTACAATATCTAACAAACGTTCAATTCCCTCTAGCAAAACAACGACGTGTTTGAAACTCATTCGAGAACTACTCAATGGAAATCTCACCAGGGTGAAAGCGTATAGAATCCGCTGTCGCCATATGGCTTTCCGATGGCTACTGAGTCATAATTCGCAGTGAGGCAGTATGGTCATCGGTTATGGACGGGCACTCTTCTGTTGTTCAATTTGCGATTCCTTTGAGGAATCAAAAATCTGAATCTGTAATTGAAAAGCAATGATTGAATACGAACAGGTTGACTATCACACTTCGAAACACAAACTCAATCAAACAGAAATTGAAATTCTCTTTGACTGAGCTTGTGTTCAGAAGTGTAAGGACCACCTTCAACTGAACAAAATGGAAACTGAAGCCTATCCAACCCAGAGCCTGATGTGGTCGCAGCCATTTTCAGTTGTGAGCTTACCTGTACACAAAAGTGCGATGATGTATCTGAATTCTGGCGACTGATTGCGACCAACATTTCCTTGTTGCCTGCAGCTCTGAAGATAGCATCCTCCTATCCTATATCTGCTTACGTCGTAGCGAGTTTGTAACATAGCATAGACACGCTGGACAGAAAGAAAGCCGTATTTGACGGCATCGTTAAAAACTGAGTCCCATCATTTTGCTGCCTACGATATTTGAATGTACTTTTCGCGCGCAACTTTTCGGTCGATAGCGCCTACGCTTTTATTAAAGGCTTGGTCCTCGCTAATTGTGGGTATGAACGAAACACGAAAGCGAAGGTCGAGAGTAGTTTGATGGCGGCGAGAATCGGCATTTTTAGAGAAGTAAAAGGCCTCAAAAAAAGGGTGAAATTAAGGTCGGACGAGAATAAGACGGAAAAATGGCGTAGACAGGGTGTTTGAGCGAGCTCTCCAATATCTGCCATTGCGTACAGCTGTCCACAGCACGTAAAATCATCTTTTGCTGTCAGGACTGCCTCTGCTATCAGCTGATTGCATGTTCTAGTGAGGATCGTAGAGTGAATAGCGCAAACTCTATAGCCTCGAAAACTTGCCTGAATTCTCATCCTAGTTTCGGTGTAGACGTGTGCTAAGCCGGTTTAGGGCCCTTATCAAGCCCTATACAGTCCATCTCTCGATCCTATAGCGCCCCTTGTGCCATCCTTGTGGGCCGAAGGGTAATCCTAGGGTAACGGAACTTCTCCCCAAATTCCCCCGCCTGCTTCAGTGGTTCCGCGGCGACTCTTCGTATCCTTCTATTCGGAATTCAAATGATTTCCTTCATAGCGCGCGACCCGCGTGCGGTGAGCGCGACACGCCGTCCGGGGAGAAGATGCCAGACCCGTAATTCTAGAGGAAATCTCTGAGGGAAGAGTCCGCTCCGCACATCCGTCGAAAGTAGGTTTCCCCGCCCAATTCGCCCGCGAAGCAGCCAACTGAGGTCTCGAGGTAATATTACAGTAACACCAAGTGTCGGTGATGTGAATGATGTGCATTTGTCCGTATTATCTTCTCTTTGAGTTGGCTGCGGTGGACCAAGCGCAAATCGTATGCCCCGCTGACAACTGCGACATTCAAGTATCGTGGGCGGACCCGCCGCATGCGACGACTGCGGCGTGACCTGGTTTCGCTAGACGCGCGCAACGAAGCGCACCCAATCTCAGGAACGCTTTTCATCGTGAACCGTACCTTTGAAGAAGCGAAGAATAAGCTGCGAGTTTTGCAGATCCTTCACAGTTTTCTCAGAGAAACAACATGTGCGAAAACGGAGATTATAGCCTTAGGCAACGCTTTCAGTGATACAGCCTGTATAGAGTAATTATTAACCCATTGGCGACCGCGCTTTTATATTGTCCTTACATTAACCTTTATTTTCTCTTCTGACTGTGGTTAGAAATGAATGATTCCTGGACCGCGATGCCTCAAGATTCTCTAATAGAAGGCTGTGAGCTCAGCTCATACATGAAAACATGAAAAAATTATAGGAACACCTGACAAACAATATAAATACCCAAGCCAAAAAAGTGCGTACTGGCATCGGAACGCATGGTCGCCATCGTGTTAACAGGAACAGCTTCAGAAAGACTGTAACTGTGACGAATGCAAGAAGTACAAACAAATGTTCGAGAAGGTCCCCACCAAAGATACATCTGCACAACGACAGTCGTCACACGGCAGCTCAAAGGGTAAGGGAAGTATGTAGTGATTTGATAAGAAATTAGCATTGATAAGAGGACGTATCATGAGGAACACTAAAGTTGTTCTATCTAGCGGAAGAAAACTGCTAAACTTACTTGAGTTTCATGCGGCAACAAAGTCGTATCGCGAAATCGGAAAAATGAAGAGCCGTTGTTTCTTATCAATATTTAAAGAAAGGCGGAGGTAGTGTAGTGGCAAGTGACGCGCTATATCACGCGCACGGTCAGGGGTTTGAATCCCGGATCGATGCCTGTCTAGGCCAAACAAGCCTTCCATCCCTCCGGGGTCGGTGAATTGATACCCGACACGTCTGGGAGGATAAAAGCACTGACTTGTACATTAGATAGCCACCGCAAGTCACTGTATAGGTCACTACGCGCTCCATTCGCCACTATGGTTCCGAATGGAAGTCGAGTGCGGGGGCGCATCCCTCAGACGGGATTGATCAACGCCAAAAACTTTATCCTTTATTATTTAAAGAACGGTTTGGGTGTGATGTTGAGGAGGTGTAGTTGGTCATGGCCGAATCACACAAGCATGGTCAAGCTTTTTATCTGGGTTCGGCTAACTGGTATAGGTCCCTCTATGAGAATAAAAACAATGAAACAATGAACCTTAACTCTGGGTTTACCTTCTTGTATGCTTCCGACTGTTTTAAGTCATCCTCCATTCTTTGCATGATAGGAAAAGAATTCACAATTCTCCACAAAAATCAGAATACGTCACAAAAATGCTGACCATTAATAGTTGCCTCCGTCTATCGCATTTTTGTGGATGAAGGTTATTCGTATCTTTTGTAGAAGCCAGAAAATGCAGCAAGTTACTCATAGAAATAAAATATCTGACGATGGGATTTTAAAATGTCCGAGTTGTCATAAGGCGGATATCATGTTGATTCATATTCGAAATGTATCAACATGTATATCGTTTGAAAAAAAAATGCGAAAAGCATAATTAGAGGAATATCAGGCTTCAAAAAAGAAGTAAAATTAGGGGATCGACGAGAAGTTACGGGAAAAAAGCTGGATGCAAGGGGTATTTAGACGAGCTGTCCGAATGCGCCTACATTGGCTGCTTTCATATTGCGCCGCCGCACCGGCTGACGTGAAACGAATAAGTTCGTATGTAAGAAATCTATACCTGTTGGCTTTCATTTCACGACCAGAACCAGACCGTAAAGAATGTGACCGTGAAACAAAATGCAGCAGACGTAGATTTCCTACACACCACGGCTGCCGGCGAGCTATGAAAGCAGCCATTGAATACAGCTGGCTGCAATACGCTGCTTGCGTACAAGGTGTGGATCCCGGTGCTAATGATGCAATCTCTGCAGCTTTTACAGCGCCTTGGGTACGCACGTCGGCTAAGCCGTTTCGGGGACCCTTATTACGCTATACAGTACTCGCCGTAAG